AGGAGATACTGATTGATATCTAACTGTGGGATTTACTGTTACTTTGTAGTCTCCACACAGTCGTATTTTACCTCCCAGTTTTGGGACCACTAATTGCGGTGTAGCCCACTCTGAATGTTCGATTCTCGTCAAAGTCCTATTCTCAACTAATTCTTGAGCTCTTTGGTCTCATTGCAATCGGGAGTACATTTACCCGACAATTTCTGAAACAGTACTTGGTTTGCGAGCATGCTTTTTATTTTTTCCCGTAACGACGATCCACAATTAATTTGCAGTTTTCTTATCACGTCCCTACCACATAGTGAGTGGTTGGCTGTATGTAAAACATGCGCTACCATCTCTTCCGAACGCCACTCAAATTGTGCCCTTATTTTGCAATTATCATCAAAAAAAAACTATTGGGATTATTGTTATAAGCAGTTGCTTCCAATTTAGCCGGTTTTATTCTGGTTTCCCTACCTTCGACCATCTGGCCTCGTCGATTATAGATACTGAGGCTCCCGTATTTGATTCGAACTCAACAGTGCCTCCATTCACTGTGAAGGGGAGCATGATAGCTGGCTCAATATCCATTTTATGCCTCACCATCAGTCGGCCGTCTATGTCCATCGACTTGCCGTTATCGCCATCTCGCCTATACCGTATCTCCTGCGGGGTATGCCGCACGATTCTGGTATGTCCCTAGCTGAACCGTACCCACGGTTAGCTTCTCATCTTCAGAATCGTCAGGCTTTTAAACAGCACTTATTAACACATTGACGACAGCGTGAGACACATTGAATGCACGCGTTGTAGGCCATGTGGGACAGCGTGCATACTATACAACTCACGATCAACAAATCCATATCTTTTCCAGCCATAGTTTCTTCTTGCGGTGGACCATCGGATAGAATCAGCTGGCTCCTTGTCAAGTTATTCTCCCCTCTCCTGAGCCATGTATCATCGCATTTAGTCAATACAGGAGACTTCATGGCATCCCTCGACCAATGCCATATCCCAGCAGAAGCTAGCTATGCTAGCTTCGATGCTGTATCTTTGTATACAAATGTCAACACCTGGGATGCAATTGATGCTGTAATGAACTTATGGAGCCAGCACAGAAGGGAAATCTTCGTTTTTGGCCTGGAAGAAGAAGACCTGCGGGAATTGTTCAAGGCAACGTTGGAGTGTAACATATTCCAGTTCGACGGAAGGTTCTACAAGCAACATCGGGGGCTAGCCATGGGATTACGAATCGCACCCTTACTAGCCATCCTTTTCCTTGACCGCATAGAACGCCGGTCGCTACCGTCGGAAATATTGTTTTACAAAGGGGACATTG